TAAATAAACAGACTAAAAAATATCACTCAACACAACTTAAAACAAAATTTTCTGAGGTAGAGGGCTTGGTGAGAACACTGAAAATCCGCATGTGCAGCAGTCAGTGTGTGCAGGAAAGAACAAAGCTTGAGTATTGATCTTTTTACACAAGTATTGTTCAATGTCAATACCAGCGTTGGTATCAATATTATTGATGTTTAGTATTGATCCACCCACCTCTACTGCCGTTTATGCCAACAATATAAACCAACGTAATCTTATGATGAAAAATGAAAAAGGTCAAACCTTGAAAACAACAAAAAAATGCAATGTCAGGTAACGGCTGTCAGGTGTGGCAGGCAGATTTGGACCGAAGCGCAGACAGGCAGGCAGGCGAGGTCAAAAATAAAAGTATTTATTAAATAACAAATCAATAAGCTGCCGGGGCGACAAAAACAAAATCTAATTGACAACAAAAAACACGGAGGAGAACATGAAGCCAGGGCAGAGTACCAAACAATGAACRGACGAAGGTGGAGAGAAACTGAGCCGGATTTATCCAAGCAGAGGTGAGTGGAAATGGAGGACAGCTGAGCTAATTACAAGTGAAGACAAATSTCAAGCAGCTCATCGGAGCTTACATCATCTCACAGCGCTCACATCCTCTGCCGGGGTCTGARCGCCAGACTCTGTCATTCTTGTCAATGAATTTACTTCCTAACTGCAGTCTGTCTTTGTGAGTCTCTCCAGGTTGAAATAAGAAATGTATTTGTTTGKTTTCTGGAAACACTAAGCTGGGTTCTCTTCTTTAAGATGTTGGAAATGTGACCAAATGATGAAACATTGTGACTGTTTTTAAATGAGCACAGACAGTTTATCTATTTGTTAGTTAAACTCAAAAATAATCCACAGAAATATAACAAATATCCACAAGTTTTTACCTTGACAGTAATTAAACTCAGAGCGAGCAGAACACTGTTCTGATGCTTCCATCAGAGGTAAAGGGAATGTGACGAACGGTTTGAACATGATTAAAAACCTGATGTTTTTTTTTCACTTTAAAAAGGATTTTCATTCATAAAACAGCCTTTGCTGCACTCAAAGCATTCATAATGAAAATACAGAAGCTCATTTGAAACTTTGCCCTGAGATGACAGATGTGTTTCATCAACACTACGGCTCACTGAGTCTGAATGGAAGCAGTTGATAAATCTTTCAGCGAGCCTCATGAGACAACACTTTTTACATCTTTAAAGTTAAGTGTTCATTTGAAGTRACTACAACTTAAAGCCAGCTGAAAAACATACACAGATGCAGGAGWGGTGAAATGATTTTAGAACTTTTAAACAAAATACTTCTCTATTCTGCCAGGAAAACACATTAAGAACTTTATTCAGAGAACACTGCTGCATCCACAGAACTTTAACATTAAACCAGACTGCTTCAAAAATGGAAGCTAGTCTTCTTTAAGAGGCCTGCAATCAGTTACAGGAAGTTAGGACAGTACTTTAGTAACAGGAGAGGAAGTACTTTTAATCCCCTCCTGACTTGCAAAGAAATACGGGAACTAAATTTTTTGTGGTGGTTTAACTTTAAATACAGAACGTCAACTAATAATCCCTAAAATACACATCATTTAAAAGTTGGAAACTGGTTTCCAAATCATTGAAAAAAATAAATACAAAATTCCTCTACAAACCAGCCAGAGTTATGTGTCTGACACACAGGTTCTGATCACTCAGTAATCAATTTCAAACACTGCTGAGTCTGTTTTTCTGTTTAAACGTATATGTTTTTCTGGGCTAAACCTTCTGTTTATTAATCAACATCTTCATTATATTTGAAGCGATTTAATAAATCAAAAATATTTTAAAATCGATTTTAAAAAATGGAGTCAATGAAAAGAAGTGATCACACAGGAGCTATATTTGCATTTCTTTGTGTTAAAAACTTTCTAAATATAATTCAGTATCTGCTAAATCAGCTGAAATATAAACWCTTCTGAGTTGTTCTAAGGTCAGAAGGCTGTGATGGCCATCTTGAGTTGAGTTGGCCCTAAAATTGAATCAGCTGTACATGAAAACACAGATCCTGACATTTATTTGCTTTATGACCCTGGGCAATAAGGATACAGCACTTTTTCTCTCTGTACAACATACAACTTAAAAGGAGTTTGATGCAAAGTTCTGCAACAACTGACGTTTTTATTAGTCTGAACAGCTCCGGGTGCTGACGAAGTGAAGAGCATTTTAATGAGTTCTTCAGTCTTTTAGGGATTAAAACAGACAAAAGGAAAATGAGTATCAGGTGGCTGCATGTGCTGCTCTGCTCTGTCTCAGTATTTTTTTTTTTCAACATTTACAATGAAAGTGGCTTTTTGTCCAAGCTGGATACTTTGCTTTTATTCAACTCCAATGAAGTTGAGACATTGTTTAGAACTTTAATAAAAACTAAATACACTGATTTAAAAGACCTTTTCAACCCATTTTAATTTGAATACACTACAAAGAAAAGCTGGATGCTCCAAACAGTTTTTTTTTTACTTCTCGACTCCCAGTCTGTATTCTGGTCCGATCCTCCGACAAACCCTAACAACAGGTAAGTGTTTATTTTCTGAAGAACTGCACTAAAGGTTGGAGTGAGACTGGTCACCTTGTAACATCCAACACTCTAACAAAGAATGTTGACTCAGCTCAGCTCGAAGTGTGAACAGGACTCYTTCTGTGCTCTCATCCATCTTGCAGAAGATCGGTTAAGGCAGAGCTTCCTGCTGAATGAGGTTTGCTCTGCCTCCGTATCACTAGGCTAATGGACTGATAATGATGATGATGGTAACTGACAACAACAATAACTCCTTATTGAAGCACTCCTCTCTTGAATTCATAATAATAGAAAATATTTTCTGGAGAACTATACCATGAAAACATTGTTATATTTCAAAATGCAAACAGTAAAACTGTAACCAGGATTTCTATGAGTCAGTTCATGGTCAGTTTAGGTATTTTTTTGTTTTAGTTTTGTTGCTTTGTCCATGTTTGTGGTATTTTTTTTGCATGCTCTCCTTTATCGTTGTCGAAGCACTTCTTCAGTCAGTGTCAGCTTTGAATTAGATTTGTTAGAATTAATTTGATTTATTGTTTGAATTTAATTAGAAGCTTCTAATTGCATTTTTACTCTAAAGACAAATGTTGTTCTCAGGGAGAAACCACWTGAGCAAACTGTGAGTAAACGAAGCAGCAAATGTTGACTGAGACGTGTTTATTAGAAGTGAGACATCTACATGCTGCAGGACTCAGTCAGGACTGTCGGCAGAGGAAAACRCATGCTCCTCCTCAGGCAGCAGCTGCCTGAACAGCAGCTCACACAGGACGATAGATGACACTGAGCRGGAACAGGAAGAGGGATGAGTTGTGCAGACTGATGGAGGAAATCATACTAAACCAAAAAGAAAAGAAAAGCTGGTCAGTCAGATGCACTTGAGGAGGTAGGAGTTGCAGTTTGCTCCTCTTCCACAGTCGCAGAGCTTCCCGATCCGAGGCCCAAACTTCATGGCACAGCGGTTCCCCATCTCACACTGAGGACAGGAGGAAGACTTTATTCTTCAAGAGTCAATCAGAAACAAATACAGTAAAACTCAGTCTTCAAGTTCCTACTCCAGAGTATTTTAGTAGGATTGTTTTTTGACAGAACAACACAAAGTAAAACATAAATGTGACATGGAAGGAAAACGAAACGTTTTTATTTATTTATTTATTTATTTTTTGTATTCAGCCTCCTCGAGTTAATACTTGGAAGAATCAATTTTTGCAACAATTCCAGCTTCAAGTCTTGGTTTGTCTCAGCCATTTGAACATTTAAATGCTGAAATGTTTGCCTGTTCTTCTTTGGAGARTTTTTCAGGTTCAGTCAGACTGAATGGAGAGTTGTGAGCAGATATTTTCAAGTGTTGCCACAGAATCTTAGTTAGATTTAGTTCCAGGATTTCACTGGGTCAGTCTAAAATTTCCTATGCTTTGATCTAATTGTAGCTCTGGTTAGAGACATGTTATATTGTTGAGGCTGGGATGAAGGATGACCTTCGTCCCAATCTCAAGTCTTTTGCAGCCAATAACAGGTTTTATTTCCAGGACTGTTTTGCATTTAGCTTCACCTTCCCATCATCTCCGACCAGCTTCCCTGTCCMTTCTGAAGAAAGGCATTACCACAGCATGATGCTGCCACCACCGTGCTGATGTTCTGTGTTGTGGAATACTTATTTTCTGTATCACCTTGACACTGACCACTTGTTCCTGTTCCTGAAGATATGAACACTTGTTCATATCTTGTGATATCCTTCCGGACGTCAGCATCAAGTTGACCTATTTCCGTGTATCAGGATGGGGCAGGTTATGATTGGTTGTTCATTCTCACACGATGTTAGATGACAGAATGCTGTATATGAGGCCTCTCGAGACACAGTGTGCAACAGAGTTAGACAGTGAGCAGTGTGGAGTGACAGAGAGAGGCACAGAGAGAGGCCACGTTCTCTGTGTTTCCTGTTGTTGCAATAAAACTCAGCTGATCATCCCATGGAGCACCTTCATTCTTGACCACGTATTTCTGTCTCTGTTGTTGAATAAATATTGCCATAACATTCTGTATTTACCAGACACCGGTCAGTTCTACACCACAATCTATCTTCAGTTGTCAGGAAAAAGCTGTACGTCAAAAATTATTTCAAAAATTAAATTTGCTTCACAGTCAATTTAAATGCTTTGAAACTCTGTCTCTTTAAAAACATCCTACTATTTCAGACACTCCCACTTCAGCACATCTTTACAACRATGCTTCATGCTGTTTACAACCTCTCTAGGAGAAAACTCCAGATGTTTTTGACAAACCGTGTCATGCTTAGGAATCGGACACAGAGGGTCRTCTCCTTGGCATCCAGAAATGCATTTCCTCGCAACACATTCTCACTCCCGACTCGTCRCATATTGAGGCTTGGTTCAGGTTCCCTCTGTGTCCAGTTTTGACACGTCAGATAACCCCCCTCACATCAGTTATTGATGCACAGGGATTTTCCAGGTTYGCGCCACAAATAGGGTCTTTGGGTTAGGGTTCGTGGTTAATATTAGGGATCAGGATTACTGGTTAATTTTAGTTAGTGAAGTCAGGCATAGGATGTATAAGGGCTAACAGACGTTCTCATATCTTCAATAACTGACGCCATGGGGTATGTGTCAAAACCTTGACGCACAGGGAACCTGGACCAGGCATCGATATGTGACGAGTCGGGAGTGAGAATGGGCTGTTCATTGATGAACTTATTTTTAATCCAAAAAGGACTGGACTGAAAAACAGTTTTACAAGCACAATATGAGCCGTTCCACCAGGTGTTTGTTAAATGTTGTCGCCAGTGTTGGAGCTGTGTGGAAGAGGTGCAGGAAAGGGGCTCTGTGGAGCCAGAGCTCGGCTGCAGGCCGAGTTCCAGGGAGGAGCTTTGTACCAACAATTGTTTASGCAGCTCCACAYGACTWTCACAGGAGATTGAAGGATTTCTCAAAACACGATATTTGAGTCAAAGCAACACTCTGGTATGTTTTTGATGAGGAATTTTTTTTGTGGACCTTCACGTTAYATTTTAAATGTGACCTCCATCAGACTCCAGTGTGAACTCTCCACAGCACTGATGTGACCCGTATGTGCAGAAGATGTGACATCACATTCAGCTGGCAGTGGACAGAATTAGCTAAACAYAGATGCTACATGTTAGCATGTGGATTYTGAAGTTGTTGGTCAGTCAGAGCCAATTAAATAATTATCTGACCTTCTTATTCAGTTTGGTGTTTTTACAGTGGTGTGAAAAAGTGTTTGCCCCCTTCCCTGAATTCTCATTCTTTGACATATTTGTCACACTGAAATGTTTCAGATCACCAAACAAATTTACATATCGGACAAAGAYAACACAAGTAAACAAAATGCAGTTCATAAATGAAGATCTTCATTATTAAGAGGAAGATCAATTTAAACATACATGGTTCTGTGTGAAAAGGTAAATGTCCCCTAAACCWAATAACTGATTAGCAGCAACAACTGCAATCAAGTGTTTAATGTTTGACAATGAGACTTTCACAGCACTGCAGAGGAATCCTGGCTCATCTTGTTGTAAGTCAACCGCATTTAAATGTTTCCGATCATGAACCGCCTTTTTAAGGTCATGCCACAGCATCTCAGTCAGGTTTTAGGTCAGGACTTTGATTAGGCCACACCAAAGTCTTAAACCTGTTTTTCTTCAGCCATTCAGAGGTGAACCTGCTGCTGTGTTTTGGATCAATGGACCTCCTGCAAGATTTGTTCTTAAGTTGTGCGTACGAGTGATCTAGGAGAACTTATGGCATTCACCAGTTTTCTCATTTTCTAAGATTTTTTTTCAGATATGAACAGAAATTCATGAGTGGTCCAGACCTGTCATATATTTTACGAGCAGTCAGTCTGCTGTTATCCAGACGGGTTTTCTTCATTAATAAATTTATATTTCGTTAGT